GGCCCTGTGACAAAACATGTTCCTGTTTGTTCTCCAGGTGTGTTTGGTGTTGATCCAGATGAAATGAAGTCAGTATCAGTGATGAAGGGAGAGTCTGTCACTCTAAACCCTGATGTTACTGAAGCACAGACATATTTGTTAATACAGTGGAAGTTTGGAAGCACTCGAATAGCTGAAGTCAACAGACTCACACAAACAAACTCGACGTATGATGGTCCTGATGGGAGATTTAGAGACAGACTGAAGCGGGATCAGACTGGATCTCTCACCATCACAAACACCAGAACCACAGACTCTGGACTTTATCAACTAACGGTTGTCAAAATAGAGACCATTTACATGAGTTTCAATGTTACAGTCTATGGTAAGACAATTACAGCATAGTTTGCTCCTCATTTAAATGATGTCTTTGTCATTGTAATATTTTAAAATGGTTCTTTTCTATTTATTTCAGTATTCCTTATGATACTGATGGCTTTAATTCCCTTTGAACAGATGGACACAGTTAAGAATGTGGAAGTTAAAGGAATAGTTCACCCAATAATGAAAGTTATGTCATGATTTAACAAGTTCTTCTAAATATGTAGTAGTTTTTTTCTTGTGTGCAGTGTTGTTACATGTAACTTATGTAATTTAATTATAAAATAAATGTAACTGTAATCTATTACAGTAACATAATTTTTTTAAATTAAATTTACATTTACGAAAATACAAATAGGATATGTTTAATAATATTAATTTGTTGCTTTGCCTGTTATTGATGTGCACAATGCCTCTTGCCTTTTAAAGGCCCTTTTGGTAAAGCAATGCTATTCTGATGCTTTTGCTTGTTTCTCTTGTTTGAATTGGCAGACACCACGTCACATTGCTGCTGAAAGCTTTAGGCTACAATCTGCCTGGTTTAAATGATTGAAAATGATTTACATTAGAAATGTAGAAAAGTAATGAAAATGTAATCAGTTACATTAAGTAATTGAAATGCTTACTCTACTTATTTAATTTTGAAGAGTAACTTTTAATTTTTGGGGTGAACTGTTCCTTTAAAGCAGTCAGATCCACAGATGAGTGTTTTGTTTGTGTTTTGAGTGTTTTGTTTCACTTCTGTTTGCATATGAAAGTGCTTAAGTAACACCAACTCACATTGAACTCCTGTTATGTCTCTTATTAATCTTAGGTCTCATTTTAAAGTCTTGTTTTATTTATCATTCAACATTGGTATTAGGAAAATATATGCAAAATACAGATTTAAATAGTAATTTGGTCATTAATAACCAACATAATGATCACAGTTTGTAACATGTTTCTGTGTTCTCTTTAGGCGTGACCGAAGAAGTGAAGTCAATATCAGTACAGGAGGGAGATTCTGTCACTCTGAACCCTGATGTTACTGAAAAACAGAAATATTTGTTAATACAGTGGATGTTCGGAAGCACTCGAATAGCTGAAGTCAACAGACTCACGCAAACCAGCTATACATACGATGCTGATGGGAGATTCAGAGACCGATTAAAGCTGGATCCGACCGGATCTCTGACCATCACGAACACCAGAACCACAGACTCTGGACTTTATCAACTAGCAACTGTCAACAGAGAGACCAGCTACATGGATTATGATGTTACTGTCTATGGTGAGAATTACAGCATAATTAGCCCTTCATTTGAATTATAAATTTGTCATCACATTTTAAAATGGTTCTTTTCTATTTTCAAAATTTCTTAAATACACATTTATAATATTGACTGCTTTAATGCCAAAATTCTTCATTGTCAGAAAGATCATCGAGCACAAATTGTGTGGCGTCCAGCTGTGCGATGAACAATTCATCCGTAAACCAGACTGAGGATGCCAGCGTTACTGAACTCTATCAGCCGAGTTCAGGTAAGTCACTGGGTTTCTATGGGGAACATTTACTTAAGTCTTCTTCCGTGATTTTGCAGGAATAGAAAACAGATGGCAGACAAGCGACAGAAATGAATCACTCGTCTCATGCTGCTCTAGAGAACATTAGCGTTCGAGGCAACAAAACATCATGGGGAAAGAATCACATAATCACATTCTTTAGGGAGCCGTAAAAATTATCTAGAACCGCTTATGTCAGCCATGCAATCCTACTAATGTTATTTGGCTAAGCAAGGAAAGACAAACATTCACAGATTGAAGCTTGTGGATTCATTGCCTTCCCAATAACCCAGAAAATCCATGCCTCGTCTGTTTTAATTATAAATAAATGCACAGTTGTGATTCAGTGTCCTTTTTTTTTTCTTTTCAGACCACATTCACTGTTGTGGTTTTACTGAAGCTGTGATCCGATTGGCTCTCTCTGCTCTGGTGGGCGTGGCTGCTGTTGCTGTGCTGGTTTATGACATCAGATCTACAAGAAGTGAGCTGAACATGACAGAAGAGACTCAAAATCTTTCTCAGACCCATGGAGCAAAATCAGACCAACAGTATGAACTGAGCAGAAGGTTGAGCTGCAGATATGTCCAAATATAAAGCAAAACACACATTAATGCTCTGCACCTTTACTGTTCCTTACACAGCTGTTTAATAACATAATATTTTTGCACTCATTGGCCGTTTATTGATTGTATCTGCACAGAATATGACTTTGATCAATCTATTAAATACATGGCTGTAAACATAATTACTATAACAAAATAATTGAGCAACACAATTGATGGCATGAATGATCTCAAAAGCATTCTTTTTTGAAGATGTGGTGGGGTTCAACTGATTTTTACATAAAAGATTTAAACTACTAATAAATATAAAACACTGTTTGTCTTTATAAAGATGATTTGATGTTTATGAATAACTTTATCAAGCAGCTATTACCCAAATCTAGCTTTTCTGGAACTCTCGCCATCCTTTCCAAAATAGTCAACACCTTGTTAAATTCTTCTGCCTGTCAAAAGGTGCAGATATAAGCAGGGAAAAGCAGGAGGCAGGAGATGTTTATTTTATCTTCTCAATCTTCAGTCAGACTTCATCTGACCATCACAAATTTCATAAGTGTTATTATACCAAAGCAAATAGAAAATTACTGCTTAACAGCATTGTCTTATGACAATAACAACAGTGAGAAGAAGACATTGCATCTCTGTTTGACTTAAGACAACATTAACAATAACAGAAAAATAATAAGTAATTCATCAGTTAGCTGCAGGTCTTCTGCAGTGCTGTTGGTGTCCACACACTTCTGTCTTTACTTTTGTAAGCTGCTGTTAGTCAGGTGCTTAATCACACAAGGCTTCATTCCAGCAAACAGGTTCGTTTCTCAGTTTCATAATAGCAGAAATATGTTGTTGAAGTCTGATGTTGGTGATGTTACAGTGACTGGCACTGGTGGGCGTGTCTTATCTCATTAAAGTGACATGGTTTCTTCCTGCTGATTCACTCCATTAGGAACATGTTCCTGCAATGGCAGTGTCACAGCAGTCACTTGTTTATAACCAGGAACTTCATTTTCTTTTCTTTTTTTCTTTTATCAGTTTTGGGTGCAATTAAACTGGACATTCATGAGCAGAACCATATATTTTGCATTGTATTTCCGTTTTTTTTTTTTTTTTGTGAGGTATGCAAAATTGTCTATTTTTTATTTTTTCATTATGGTTATCATTTCTTTTTTATGCTTAACCTTTTCGGAACATGTTCCTGCAATGGCAGTGTCACAGCAGTCACTGATTTCACTCAGTTTCCTGGCGAATCCGGAAGAAAATACAGAGACAATCATAGAAATGAAAAATAACAAGAAAATGAAAGATAAAAATCAGGAATCTGGATGCTCTAGAAAATATTTTGACAATATGAGACTTTTTTTCCCCCCTTGAAAGCCATGAAAAATAATAGAGAAGGATACTGAGACTTTATTCATCTTCCTGTTGACTTCAGAAGATCTGGTACATGCAGGGGAAGATTATCAGAGAATAAGGGTTTTTATCGTTGACAAAAAAAAAAAAAGGCATGTTTATAACCTTATGTGAGGTATGCAAAATTGTCTATTTTTTACTTTTTCATTATGGTTATCATTTCTTTTTTAGGCCTAACCTTTTCCAAAAAAGTTAAAACGAGTTAATGCAGAGAAATGTAACATCAAACCAGATTAATATATCTGTTGTAGGAATGTTGATGCAGTAATTACATGAGGCTATGAGACTAAAGTCAAACTAAAGTAAAAAAAAAAAACATGCATGCACTTTTTCTAAAACTTTACATGCATCACGCGTCATTTTCATGCTTTCTTATTATTGCAAGTGTTGAATTTAGTCCTGTATCAAAATCCTAATCAAGAAATCATTACTTCTTCCTTTCTATGCCTTCCATAAAACTGTTCATTTTTCCCTACTGACTTTGCAACAATACCGTCTTCCTGTGCTGCTATTTTACCACCTTTGTTGCCAAAGTTCTATTACTTACCTGTTAATCACTGATTTACCTCACTTCTACTTTAATATCCACCAAGTTTTTCTTTAATGCTGCTTTTGCTAATTCATCAGCTGTTTCATTCCCTATTATCCCAATGTGAGCCAACAACAGTATACTATTATACCCTGTGTGATCAATCTGTAGAATAATGTATAGATTTCCACCAGCAGGTCTTCTCTATCACTTCTTGTAGATATTACACTTTTAAGAGCTGATGAAGAATCTAAGCAAATTCCAGTCCTATTTGGCTTAATCTGTTCAACCCATTGTATCCGTACTATAATAGCAATTAATTCTGTGGAATATAGCCTACAGACAATGTATCACTTAGTCTATTCTTAAACTTATTTGTGTCTTAAATCTAGGAAAATACACTCCTATATTAACTCAGAGCTTGATTCATTTTGCCAAAAGCATGTCTGGTCTATAAAGTTCTCCCCAGTGTTCCCCTGCAAACCATGTGATAAGAAAATTAGATAGAAGTCAAAACATCAATTGAATACACAAATATCAAGCATTTTATTACACTATTTACAGGGTATTTGAAGCATTTTTAAATCAAATTAAGGCTTTTAATATCCCTTTTTAGGACCTGCACAAATAAAATTAATACCATATGAGCAAGATAGGGCACGGTCTAACTAAAAGTAGCATAATTAGTTATTCTTTTAGGGAATAACACAATATTGTAATACATTGCTTTTAAAAGTAACTGTCCCCTACACCGATTAGCAGTAACAGAATAAGAATAAGTAAATAAATATTGACGAGTAAATAATAATAAAGTAATAAGTACCGATATGAAAATCAACACTCTCATTGTAATGTACAACACTCCTGAAACACAATCAATTATTTGTTCGTTGTTAATGTTTCAGTGTTCAGACTATTTTTGCACCATCTTGACTGTAAGGAATTATTTTCAAAACGGTAAACAATGTTTCGTTCACACAATAAAGGCTCTTTACTGGCATCTATGGTTCCATGATGAACCTTTAACATCCATGGAACCGTTCCGTTCCACAGAAAGAGCTGAAAAAAAAAAGCTTTAAAGGGGTCATATGATGCTTTTTTAAAGATCATTATTTTGTGTATTTGGTGTAACAGAATATGTTGACATGCTTTAATGTTCAAAAAACATTATTTTTCAAATACTGTACATTATTGTAGGTCCTCTATGCCCCGGAATGATGTATTAAACTTATTCTGTGCTGACAAGAATTTATAGAAATTCACTGAATATCAAAAATCTCACTAAGCCGAAACGTACTTCAGAGCATGAACATTCTAGTCAGTGGTTTGATTTTAAATGAAATGGAAAAACAAAGTACTCAAATTAAATACTATAATGTACACAGTTTAAAGAAAATCCAAGCAAGTTTGGAGGAAATGTTTACGTATATTATACTTACCCATTTGCCTTTTTAATTTATAAATCCTGCGGCGATAGTAGATCACAAAGGCAATCAGGATCAGCAGAACAGGAACAATAACACCAACAACTATTCCTGCTATAACACTCGAAGAAAGACCTGCATCTGGGACAGGTATGAAGAGAGACACTGGAAGTGTCAGTCAATGTGATAATCTGAAATTGTTTCAGATATATGCTAATAATACCATATATCGCTATAATTGAATGAGTTACTCACCACTTACAGAAACCAGGAATCTCTGCAAGCTCTCACTGCCTCTGATCTGTAGTTCATAAAGTCCAGAGTCTGTGGTTCTGGTGTTCTTGATGGTCAGAGATCCGGTCTGATCCAGCTGCAGTCGATCTTTGAATCCCTCATCAGCATCGGTTAGTGAGGTCTCATTTGTCTCAAAGTCAATTTTAGCCAGGAGGATGCCTTTATCACCAAACCTCCACAGCATCAGAGCATCTTGGTGTATTTCAGAATCAGTATGTAGAGTGACAGGATCTCCCTCCAGCACTGACAATGACACTGACTTAACTCCGTCCGTCTTACCAACCACAACTGGAAAATGAGCAGAACAATAATAAAATGTAGAGTTTTACAATGTCTCACAATTGAAATTCTGAAAGAACGTTAGTCCCATTATGAAGACCTGCATGTATGGTGCAAAATCAGTAAATTCTCACTTAATAAATGCTTGTTAAACACAGACGTGTCAGTTATTCAAGTGTATGGTTTAAAACCATCCAGACCGACTGATCAAATTATTACTAATCCTGTTTAAATATGAAAAAACACCACTAGGAACTGGATCATTGTTACAATGCAGACTTACCAAAGACAGTAACATTAAATATCTTGATTGTAGTCTTTTCTCTAGAGAAGGATAGTTTATATTGTCCAGAGTGTCTGATTCTTGTGTTTCTGATGGTGAGAGAGCCAGTGTTTTGATCCACCTGCAATCTGCCTCTGAATCCCACATCATCGGTGACCAAAAATGAGGTCAGGTCATCCTCTCTTCGGATTTGAGATATGAGAGTGTCTTTAGGTCCAAACATCCATAATATTGTATCGTCATTCAATATTTCCGAAAGATCAGATTGTAGAGTGACAGCATCCCCCTCTGTCACTGACATGTTCTCAGTTTTACTTGTCTCTCCACCTAGAAAACAAACAGAAACGGTTTTATTGATACAACACTAACTACAGCAAACAGATTCAACTGCAATCATTGTGTGAGCTGCTAAAAAAGACAAATATGTGATTAGCCTACTTTTTAGACTTTTAAGGGAAAAACTGTGAAAATTAAGACCATAAATGTCACGATCACCAGCTGGAGTGCCCATGAGCTCCACTGGAGGGCACTCCTTACTACTCCTTTGCCATTCCATCACAGACTACATTGCCCATAAACCTTTGCCTGGACTTATTGTTGTGTGATTACTTCCACCTGTGTGTCATTAACTTGTTAAGTCTGTGTGTATATAAGGTCTGCGCTTCAGTTGTGGTTGGTCAGTCATTGCTTCCTGTACGTGTGTTTCTAGTTTACACTTTTGCCTTCTCCGTGTGGATTATGTTCCTGACTCCTCTATGTGGATTGTACCCTGGTTCGTGGATTGGATTATTAGTTTTTTGTGTTTAATAAAACCCTGTGCTTGCATTTGGATTCTCGCTCCTCCTTGTCCTGGCTTGCATGTTACAATAAATGTGAAAATTAAAAAACACAAGCTATGTATCAAAACAAGATAAATGTATGAAGCACGATGAATAAGTGATTAACACTTGTTTGCCATAAGAATAAGAAGAATGTAAGCAAATAGGCCTATTAAACGTTTAGGCAAGCAGACGTTTTTACCAAACTGGATTCTACCGATGAAGATGCACTGTTTACTTTGAAAACAGGCAAACTGTCTATGAAAACAAAAAGACTATGAATACAAAAATTCAACAGGCTTTTTGCCGATCGACAGCTATTCAATTTGATTTTGCAAGGGCCTCGTTATATTTGGGGGTCTTAGTTACCGAAATGATCAGGTCAAAAAGCCTTCCTGATGTCGAGATTGAAGTCAGCTTTAGGCTAAGTTAAATTGCACTGATTCTTGAGACATGGGACAAAACATGCCCAGCAATTGTAACTGCTATTAGGTTTAAAAATACAAATATTTTCAATTGTAAATGTTATGGGGGATTAATAATAGAATGTCTTTAACACAATTATCCCCTTCAATTTAATTTTATCGTTATTATATGAAATCTATGACACTTATTGTCTTCTCACTGCATCTAAAACAGTGTCCACAGAGAAGGGTTTAATAATTCATATGCTATAAAATGGATAAAAAAAAAATTATGATGAAAAATACCTTGTTTTATCAAAAGCAACACTTAATAATATCTCATATCAAAGCAAGGTTGTTTTTCAGCCAAATTTGTCAACACCGTCAGATGTCACCATAAGATTTTGTGTTCCAATGATAGGCCTATATCAAAATATGTGACTCTTGATTAAAAGCTTTATAAACAATAATATACTCACTGTTTGTTGTGTTTGCTTTAATACAGTAATTGACTGATTCAATGTATTTGATAGTTAAAATGACTACAAATGCAGGTTTTCGTCACCACCGTCGGATGTGTCAACTCCGTCAGTTGTCACCTCCGTCAGTTGAATATTTTGATAATATTTCATTATGATATTTTATATTTGTTGTGGAATTGTTGGTCACATGTGAAAGTATAATCTGTCTGCTAACATGTGCTAAAATGTGCTAAAATGTTAAAAACATCTTGATTGCTGTTAAAGATCAAGTTGAAATTATATTACACAGTCCAAGTTAAAAAAGCACATTTTGATTAAAAAAAAGGAAAAAAGTTGGGAGGTTGTTTCAAAGCATAGCTCAGTAGGATACTGTAGCTACATAGCCTAAGTAAATGTAGTTTAATTTGTCCGAGTGCAAGGTTTTATTTGTTCAATTTTGCACCCTGTTTTGTCCCACTTAGTGATTAGTTAGACCTTGTAAATGAACAAATTCTAGAAATAAGAAAACAATAGGAACTGTTTTTGTTTTTGGTGTTATGGTGTGGCTCCATATCAAAGCCGAAAGTAAACACATTTCCAAAAACTTACCAGCCATTAATAATAGTAAGACCAATAACATTTTCCTCCTGTTTTTGTAGAGCTGTGCAGAATCCGAATTTAATAAAGATGATCAATGAGTTTACTTTATATTTTTATGTTGTTGAATTGCGTTTGTCGTCACGAATCACCCAGACTGATAAACTCAAAACAGCATAACAAAAGCACCAAATTCGAACGGAGAGCCGTTAAACCAGCTGGGAATTACGACTTTTCTCAACTATATGAATAAAACGTAAAGTCCCAGTAATTTGATCCTTGAAGGAATTTCGAAACTCGACTCTCCTCCACTTGGCATTGTGTGACGCAATAGCGGGCGTTTCCCATATTGGCACGAATCCAGCTGTTCACAACCTGTCAGCAGCTATCTGACTAGAAAAACGTTGTCCCTTCATTCTGAAGCTGTGAAAGAAATTTAGTTACTAAATAAATTTCTGGTGGCTGTTTTCACCGTTTACACTCCATCCTGTACGCTACTTTCACGAAAAACCGTAGCCTACGTGTTTTACGAAGTTGTAATAAAATCGAAAGAAAACGTAGCGTTATGTCAATCAGCGCTTTTCGTATGTTTGGTGACTTGTGTTCTAAACGAAAGTGAGATGAACTTCCGTAAATAGGCCCTCATGTTAAATCAATCATTTCAAGATACTCTGATATTGATGATTTATGATCCTTTTGTAAAAATGAAAAAGAGGTGTTATCACATTTATTTTTTGATTGTAAAATTACCCAACATTTTTGGAAGGAATTGGCAGAATTTATTTTTAATCTAGTAAAGGATAAATACTGTTTTTCTTTAAAGGATATTATTGTGTACTATGAAAACAATGTTAACAAAGGTCTTGAATACATTGTTGATTTATTCATATTGCTGGCAAAATTTTGTATGCATAAACAAAAATGCTTAAATTCATCCCCAATATTTAAGGTAGTGGAATTGGATTGTTTTATATCTTCTCTGAAATTGTAAAAAAAAAAGAAAAAGTCATTAACATGTTTAAAATATTATGAAATTTTTTTCAGTTCCCGTTACTAATTAATGTCACACTTTGTATAGCACGGACTGTCTTATGCTATGCTCTGTTTGTTATTTGTTCTATTTTCATTAATAAAAAATATAAATAAATAAAAAAACTTCCGTAAATAGGCTATCTGCTCACTGAGTACAGTGGACACTGCATAGGGACCTTAAGAATTGGAACGCAGCCACGATAGTGCAGTGTCAACAAAACGGCGCATAGACAGTATCACTAGCAAGGATTGAAGAGCACGTTTTTCCTAGTTCACTTTACACATACATTTTATTGGACATGTTAATTCTTGTTCCGTTTAATCCGTTTAAACCCTCTCCAAAACGTTTGTTTTAAGTGGTAAGAAAACTTATTCTATGTCAACATTTTGGCCATTTTGGCAGTTATATTCGCTATAAAAACTTACTAGGGAACGCCTACTAGCGAGTCTGTAGACATAGGCGATATGCAGCGACAGAGTCTGTTTTTTAGACAATACTGGTGAATGACAAATAGCCACCAATGAATATGGTTAACGCTTTTATTTTGTTATGTGTGTGCTTGTGGCGTCTAGTTGGTAAGTTATACCTGTTTTTACTTAACTAAATGCCATTACAATCAATTACATTACCTCATAAATAAAAAGTTTTCAGACAGTTTATTATCACTGCTAGTTTTGTGGCCTGTTGAGAAATTTAGTGGAAGGAATTCCCAAAAATATTTTTTTTCTTGTCTAAAAACATGCTGATCCACAGTAGGCCTATTATCCTTGCATAATACTACTACTTAATAAAATCACTTTGCACTGAATTCAGGAACTTTCATTGTTATTCATGTCTAATTATATCCCACTTTAAAGTCTTGTTTTCATTCAACATTCACACAGAGGAAACGTCTGCATAATACAGATTTAGTATGGTCAACATAAAGCTTATGGGGAGCATTTAGCCGGTTACAAAACATGTTCCTCTTTGTTCTCTAGATGTGACAGATGAAGTGAAGACAATATCAGCGATGGAGGGAGATCCTGTCACTCTACACACTGATGCTAATAAAATACAGACATATTTGTTAATACAGTGGATGTTCGGAAACACTCGAATAGCTGAAGTGGGCAAGCTCACGCAAACCAACTCCACATATGATGGTCCTGATGGTAGATTCAGAGGCAGACTACAACTGGATCAGACTGGATCTCTGACCATCACAAACACCAGAACCACAGACTCTGGACTTTATCAAGTAACAGTTTTCAGCAGTGAGACCAGCTACATGAGTTTCAGTGTTATGGTCAGTGGTGAGTGTAATTTTCCAGGACTTTTCTTCATTTGAATTATAGCGTTGTCTTGTCATTGTAATATTTTAAACTGTTTCTTTTCTGTTCTTGTCAATGTACATGCACATTTTATGGTGTTAACCATTAAAGGGATAGTTTGCCCAAAAATGAAATTCTGTCACCATTTATTTACCCACAAGTTGTCAAACCTGTATGAGCTTCTTTCTTCGTAAATGAGGTAAATGGAGGACATCTTTTTTTTTTTTTTTTTGGGTGAACTATCCATTTAATTCCATTTAAAAAATAAATCTATTATAAAGATCAGAACTGTGTGTGTGATGAGACCAGTGTCACACTAACATCTGTCACTTTCAGAGACTCCACAAAGTTCTACAACGCCAGAAAGTTCAACAAGCTCAAGTTTTGTGTCGTCCAATTTAATCGTCAACCAGACTGAATATGTCAACATTACTGAACTCCATCAGCCAAGTTCAGGTATGCCACTCATGATGCTAGTGTGAGAGCAGAACTGTGTTAAATGTGTTCAGTTAATGTGACATGAGTTTTTATAAAACTTTAAGATTTTTTGTTTCTGAAATAGTGTTAGTCGTGGCTTGATGTCAGAATTGAGGCCACGTTTATGCAGTTGTGACCAATCACAATGCCAATGCAGCACATAGTCATAGATGTTGCTTCATCTTACTGCAGATGGGTGTGAACAAATCAACCACATAAACCCATTAAAATTGCAATATTTTAATTTACATTATATTTTTTCATTCAACAGATGATTTATCTAATGTGGCTCACATTGCATTCAAGGTGTATATTTGATCAGCACATGCATTTGTGGAGAAAGAATAACCTGTTTGTGTTTTCTTTTTTTTTCTTTTTATGATTTCACTGGAACAAAGAATAGACCACAGACGAGCAACAGAGGCATGAAGCATGTGTCTGAGGGTCGTGTGTGGGTGTGGTGCCCCAAGTTGCTAAAAAAAAAAAAAAACTAGTGCTCAAAAGCAAAATATATCTTGGAGAAATAATCAAATATTCACACAAGTTTCTTGTGGCTAAAGCCCTTAAAAGAGTCTAGAATTGCTTTTATTAAACATGTTATTTGGGTAAGCAAAGAAAATGTGCATGCAAACATATTCAAACACACAGTGAAGCTTGTGGATGTTTTGCCTTTGCAGTGAATGCTTGACTTCCTAATAATAACAACCCATAAAACCGGCACCTACTGTATGAGTCTGTTTGAACGAGAGTTAAATGCATTATTCTAACTCGGTGTTTTTCTTTTTTTTCAGACCACGTCCACTGTTGTGGTTTTACTGAAACTGTGATACGATTGGCTGTTTCTGCTCAAAAAAAAGTCATTAACATGTTTAAAATATTATGAAATTTTTTTCAGTTCCCGTTACTAATTAATGTCACACTTTGTATAGCACGGACTGTCTTATGCTATGCTCTGTTTGTTATTTGTTCTATTTTCATTAATAAAAAAAATAAATAAATAAAAAAACTTCCGTAAATAGGCTATCTGCTCACTGAGTACAGTGGACACTGCATAGGGACCTTAAGAATTGGAACGCAGCCACGATAGTGCAGTGTCAACAAAACGGCGCATAGACAGTATCACTAGCAAGGATTGAAGAGCACGTTTTTCCTAGTTCACTTTACACATACATTTTATTGGACATGTTAATTCTTGTTCCGTTTAAATGTAATGTTCCCTCTCCAAAACGTTTGTTTTAAGTGGTAAGAAAACTTATTCTATGTCAACATTTTGGCATGGCATCCGGTTATATTCGCTATAAAAACTTACTAGGGAACGCCTACTAGCGAGTCTGTAGACATAGGCGATATGCAGCGACAGAGTCTGTTTTTTAGACAATACTGGTGAATGACAAATAGCCACCAATGAATATGGTTAACGCTTTTATTTTGTTATGTGTGTGCTTGTGGCGTCTAGTTGGTAAGTTATACCTGTTTTTACTTAACTAAATGCCATTACAATCAATTACATTACCTCATAAATAAAAAGTTTTCAGACAGTTTATTATCACTGCTAGTTTTGTGGCCTGTTGAGAAATTTAGTGGAAGGAATTCCCAAAAATATTTTTTTTCTTGTCTAAAAACATGCTGATCCACAGTAGGCCTATTATCCTTGCATAATACTACTACTTAATAAAATCACTTTGCACTGAATTCAGGAACTTTCATTGTTATTCATGTCTAATTATATCCCACTTTAAAGTCTTGTTTTCATTCAACATTCACACAGAGGAAACGTCTGCATAATACAGATTTAGTATGGTCAACATAAAGCTTATGGGGAGCATTTAGCCGGTTACAAAACATGTTCCTCTTTGTTCTCTAGATGTGACAGATGAAGTGAAGACAATATCAGCGATGGAGGGAGATCCTGTCACTCTACACACTGATGCTAATAAAATACAGACATATTTGTTAATACAGTGGATGTTCGGAAACACTCGAATAGCTGAAGTGGGCAAGCTCACGCAAACCAACTCCACATATGATGGTCCTGATGGTAGATTCAGAGGCAGACTACAACTGGATCAGACTGGATCTCTGACCATCACAAACACCAGAACCACAGACTCTGGACTTTATCAAGTAACAGTTTTCAGCAGTGAGACCAGCTACATGAGTTTCAGTGTTATGGTCAGTGGTGAGTGTAATTTTCCAGGACTTTTCTTCATTTGAATTATAGCGTTGTCTTGTCATTGTAATATTTTAAACTGTTTCTTTTCTGTTCTTGTCAATGTACATGCACATTTTATGGTGTTAACTATTAAAGGGATAGTTTGCCCAAAAATGAAATTCTGTCACCATTTATTTACCCACAAGTTGTCAAACCTGTATGAGCTTCTTTCTTCGTAAATGAGGTAAATGGAGGACATCTTTTTTTTTTTTTTTTTGGGTGAACTATCCATTTAATTCCATTTAAAAAATAAATCTATTATAAAGATCAGAACTGTGTGTGTGATGAGACCAGTGTCACACTAACATCTGTCACTTTCAGAGACTCCACAAAGTTCTACAACGCCAGAAAGTTCAACAAGCTCAAGTTTTGTGTCGTCCAATTTAATCGTCAACCAGACTGAATATGTCAACATTACTGAACTCCATCAGCCAAGTTCAGGTATGCCACTCATGATGCTAGTGTGAGAGCAGAACTGTGTTAAATGTGTTCAGTTAATGTGACATGAGTTTTTATAAAACTTTAAGATTTTTTGTTTCTGAAATAGTGTTAGTTGTGGCTTGATGTCAGAATTGAGGCCACGTTTATGCAGTTGTGACCAACCACAATTGGTGCTGCCAATGCAGCACATAGTCATAGATGTTGCTTCATCTTACTGCAGATGGGTGTGAACAAATCAACCACATAAACCCATTAAAATTGCAATATTTTAATTTACATTATATTTTTTCATTCAACAGATGATTTATCTAATGTGGCTCACATTGCATTCAAGGTGTATATTTGATCAGCACATGCATTTGTGGAGAAAGAATAACCTGTTTGTGTTTTCTTTTTTTTTCTTTTTATGATTTCACTGGAACAAAGAATAGACCACAGACGAGCAACAGAGGCATGAAGCATGTGTCTGAGGGTCGTGTGTGGGTGTGGTGCCCCAAGTTGCTAAAAAAAAAAAAAAACTAGTGCTCAAAAGCAAAATATATCTTGGAGAAATAATCAAATATTCACACAAGTTTCTTGTGGCTAAAGCCCTTAAAAGAGTCTAGAATTGCTTTTATTAAACATGTTATTTGGGTAAGCAAAGAAAATGTGCATGCAAACATATTCAAACACACAGTGAAGCTTGTGGATGTTTTGCCTTTGCAGTGAATGCTTGACTTCCTAATAATAACAACCCATAAAACCGGCACCTACTGTATGAGTCTGTTTGAACGAGAGTTAAATGCATTATTCTAACTCGGTGTTTTTCTTTTTTTTCAGACCACGTCCACTGTTGTGGTTTTACTGAAACTGTGATACGATTGGCTGTTTCTGCTCTGGTAAGCGTGGCTGCTGTTGCTTTTCTGGTTTATGACATCAGATCTACAAGAAATGAGCTGAACAGGACGGAAGAGACTAGATATCACCATCCGACCCACAGAGTAGAATCAGACCAACATCAGTTGAGCAGAACAATAAGTTCCAGATATGTTTGCTGAAGGTTGTTTGTATAATTCCAAAAGGACGCAGATACATTTTCTTTCATTAGCCATTTATTTGATCATATCTGCATAGAAGGACATTCTAACTGATCTTTTAAATTACAGGAACGGTTCACCCAGAAATGAAAATTCCACCAATGGATCCTCTGCAGTGAATGGGTGCCGTCAGAATGAGAGTCCAAACAGCTGACGTGGCTTGATGTCAGAATTGAGGCCACGTTTATGCAGTTGTGACCAATCACAATGCCAATGCAGCACATAGTCATAGATGTTGCTTCATCTTACTGCAGATGGGTGTGAACAAATCAACCACATAAACCCATTAAAATTGCAATGAATGAGAGTCCAAACAGCTGATAAAAACATCACAAATGGACTGGACGCAATGGACTGGAGTCATGTGGATTTCTTGTGGATTATTGTGATGTTTTTATCAGCTGTTTGGACTCTCATTCTGACGGCACCCATTCACTGCATAGGATCCAATGGTGAGCAAGTGATATAAAGCATAATTTCTCCAAATCTGTTCCGTTAAAGAAACAAACTCCATCTTAGATAGTCTGAGGGTGAATAAATATTATACAGTGAGATATTTGTATAAATACATGGATGTAAACATAATGACCCTAAACAGAATAACAATAGCAACACAAATGATGGATCTCATAGCCTCTCATTTCTGTTGCACCTTTGAAATGACCCTCAAAACTGATGGAAATAGATGTGTAATTTAAAAAAAAATATATATATAAAAATGTGGTGAAGAGCTTGTGTTTAATTTTTAATGTTTAATGGAACTTCAACTTTGACTCCTGGTCTTCATTGAGCATATTGGTCTCCATGGCATTTAATTGTAATTTCCCCTATACCTCTTTAGAGACACTATTTTAAAAGACGTCTGCTATGGAAATTAAAGCCCTTTTACGACAACGATTGCATGCTTCCAAAGTGGGAAGTACTGTAAACAAGAGTGTCAAATTCCAAATTCTTCTCCTCCCACGTCAAACATAGTCAGGCAAACTATACAAGATGGAACAAGAGCATGTACCATTTACAAATGTAATTGTCTAACAGTGGAGCAGTTTACACATCCTGTTGCAGATAACAAAAATAAAGATAAATTACATTTTGTTACTGATAAACAAGCTCCCAAGTTCTTCAACGTTCCCATTACAGTCTATTGATGGAAGAACATGTAAGAGAATAAAATGGTGTGATGTGTGGAGGCAGCAAGGTCCAGTTCCCAATCCCAGTGCTTTCACAATGACCAAAATCAACTCAGTATCAAAAACAAGTTCTTTTATTTTGTGATTGTCGGAGGATTCCAAGGATTCAAGAGGAGGCAAAGGCCAAACAAACATAACCCCTCTAACCAGTAGAGAGAAAAACTAACTAAACTATTAAAAGAAAAATACAACAAAATACACTAACTCCCCAAATAGCTTGAACAGGAGAAAACAAGTTCAAGGCACCCACCTCTCTACTAACCAATTCCCCCAAAAATAATATAAATGAATTAAGACCAATATACAAACAAATAGTAGCTTACAAACCAGAAAGTATTTCTTTTTCATAAACACCAATTACAACAAGAGTGTAAACACGCTAACACTGAAGAGAAACCCAATCAACAAGGCATAAATTCCTCCAAACACAGCAGACAACCAATCATTGGAGTCAGTTGGCAGCTATTACTTCCTGCTAAATAGAGAGAAACAAATACGTCTCTGGACGTAATACACTCTAAATTCAGGTCACATTTGTAATTTGATTAAAGGATGTTTAAACAGATTTCCTTTAAAACATATCTTTGGATAACATATTTAAGCATGGTTATTTTATATAGCATAAAACATGCAAAGTTGAAAAAGAACAGTAACTTAAAGTAGTTGGTTAATTTCTGAAACAAAAGTGTCACATTGACACTGAATACTGAATATAGTCAGATGAATTTCTACACATGAGGAGAAGGTCATGTGATCTTTAGAGACACTGGGATCAAAGCTGAACGAGGACATTAACCGTGTACAGCACATACAATGGTTTGAGAGATACTTCTGTGGTAAAACACATCTTAGGATAACAGGTATGCAGTGTAACATTAATACAGTTATATATGACATTATTTCATTAACACATTTCCCTGTTCATCTGAAACCAAAACAGCTTTTTACACAAGAGACATGGGGTTCTCACTTTGACTGGATGGATTCTAGAGGCTTGTGAAAGAACTGAAATGTTGATGATGTCACAGTGATTGACACTGGTGGGCGTGTCTTATCGCACTAAACTGAGCTCTTCTATATCTACTCATTTGATCCATCCTCTTCCTTTTGGCTCATAAAAGGTGTTTCTTCATTCACGTCTTTTCCTGTTGATTCTGAAAGGAAACACAGAGACAATCAGAAATTTAAAAAAGAGACTAATCTGGAGATCAATCCTGTAGTTGTTCCTGAGAAATCAAAATGTCAATATTTTCCCGTCAAATTACCAATAGAAATGAAAATCATTTAAATAACACACATTGCCAATAGCACATTTGAGTCATTTTATAAGTTAAATCTTGTTTGAGCATTTGCTCTTTTCTCACAAATGAACATGGCATTTACAGGTGCATCTCAATAAATTAGAACGTCGTGGAAAAGTTCATTTATTTCAGTAATTCAACTCAAATTGTGAAACTCGTGTATTAAATAAATTCAATGCACACAGACTGAAGTAGTTTAAGTCTTTGGTTCTTTTAATTGTGATGATTTTGGCTCACATTTAACAAAAACCCACCAATTCACTTCTCAACAAATTAGAATACTTCATAAGACCAATAAAAACAAATTTTTTAGTGAATTGTTGGCCTTCTGTAAAGTATGTTCATTTACTGTACATGTACTCAATACTTGGTAGAGGCTCCTTTTGCTTTAATTACTGCCCTAATTCGGCGTGGCATGGAGGTGATCAGTTTGTGGCACTGCTGAGGTGGTATGGAAGCCCAGGTTTCTTTGACAGTAGCCTTCAGCTCATCTGCAGAACTCAGTGAACTCAAATGCAAAGTTCACATTGATCTTTTGACGCATTAAAAGATTTACAAATTAGCCATTTCTCTCAGGACAAACACTTACATTCATTTCTGACTATCTGCCAGCTTGATTTCAGAGGATTTTTTATTTTTTTATTTGAGTGCAAACAACAGAATCTCACCTTATTTCAGCTCTTTCAGTTCATTTCCAGGAGCTTTTACATCTGATCCTGTTTTAACAACAATCACAGACAAATTAGACAATGAAACATCTATATTTATTAGACATGGTCACATGAAAACTAGAAAATTGTAACATTATTTTATTATGAATCCCCATGAATACGACTGAATAAACAAACCCTTCTTGTGTTAAAAAATATTACATTAAAAGACAACTACTCACCATGCGTTTGAACTCCAGCATCTTCAGTATTGGTTTTACGGATTACAAGGCTCTTTTTGCCCTGTCTGTCTCGCAATCTCTTATCAGCACCAAACGCTTTACTTATGGCAGTCTCTTGAACATAAATGAACCGTTCACTTTCACCTTCTCTGATCTCTGATCTCTGTGTCTCTTCTTGTGTGACATCAGCACCTGGAAACAGAGACATGTAAGAAGTTGTATAAGCAGAAACAGAAACTGTATATACTGTTAAAAGGGTTCATCGGATGCGAAATGCACTTTTTTCATGTTGTTTGAACATAAATGTGTGTTGGCAGTGTGTGTACACAACCACCTTATAATGATAAAAATCCACCCAGTGTTTTTTTTTAATCTCCTAAAATCATTACCCCTTTTTCAAATCAAGTGGTTCTCAGATTCCTGCCTGTGTGACGTCACACTGGCCAAGGCCCCTCCCACGATTGTTGATTGACACTGGCGTTTTACCATAGAACCGCCCTGAGTGAGCTGTCATCAGTCCACCATTGTTTCACCACCGGAGCAGATGTAGACAAGAATGACTTCTAAGCGATTGAGGTGTTCTGTTGTTGGATGTAATCATGAACATAGCAGTCGTCGTTTACTCCCGACATCTGAGCCGCTGAAGACGCAGTGGATTATGTTTGTTTCTGAAGGGAATGCGCCCCAATCTACCTAAATGCGCCTATGTTTACGCAAATCATTCATGATCCAGCTTCTCCTACAGAAGAAGTGTGTATAAGGTTTTTTTTATGAATCTTTGCAAATTGCCTTTCCTAATAACGTGCTAGTTAGCAAGTTCCACGGCTAAATGCAGGCTAAAGTAAACAGTCTCTCAGAGAACAGCTTGGAAGAGAGGGGCGGGGTCAGCAGAGCTAATTTGCATTTAAAGGAAAATGCTACAAAACGGCTTGCTCTGAAAAGAGCTGTTTTTGACAGGGTAAAAAGGGTGTTGTTTTACACTACCACTGAGAAATTTTAACCAAAGTATGTTATAGACTTTTCATTAAGAACCCTAAAGAATCAAATAAACTTGTGGAAAATGGGCATCCGATGACCCCTTTAAGAAATGGTTAGTGTATGTTATACGTACTTTACATTTCAACATCTATCCAAATGCACAAAGTACGTTGTACCTGTAAATGTTACGTGGGAATACCTACCTAAAACACAGAGACAAGGTTTGCTTTCTAAATACAAAAATAAAATGTCTTTAATGCAGGAGCTTCTTCAACGTTTTTGCAGAGCAACCTGTGCATTAAATTTATGCCGAATATACAAGCATTCTTGCAGCTTTAAAATGAAAATATCCTTGAAAGTAAAGGTATGTTTGTCATTTCCATTTTGCTGACAACAAATCTATACAGAACTGAACCCTTTTCATTGATCGCTGAATTGAGGATTGTGTCACATGACTAATCTTGCATCACTTGTTTTGAATACCTCTGTTTTCACAGTTTTAAGCCAAAAAGACGTTTAAATCCATTACATTATATACAACAACTATACTTTTTTAATTGAACATCTCTTATTGCATTACAAAACACATTTTGCACTTGCTGTATCAGTTGTAATACGTACGTGTTTCTTGTTCAGAGATCTTCACATCCTCTGTCAAATCTGCACACAGAAACAGAGAAATTATATTATAAGAGAATGAACAGATGAACATGTCAGCAACCCTGAGAAGAATTCCTAGCCTACATATTTTAAGATATGTATGAATTGGTCGCGAAACAGCGTTGGATTCTTTATGTACTTCTAATAATCACGTCATCATCTGCATGATTTTTATCATTGAACAGTAACAATTATACTAATGTTGTATGTGTGAACATTACTTAAATCCATCATTTATGAGAATTAACAATAACCAATACTTTTCACAGCATGTGTTTGCTAATGTAAGTTAGTAAGACAATATTTACACTAAACTATCAATACTTTGTTGACCAATTACCAAGCAATACTTAATTTTGTTCAGTCTGTGGTCGCAAAAAGGTCACATTAGCAATTAAAGAAAAACACTTAAGCAAAACATGGTCAGGTCAAAGCGTCTGAATAATTTTTGGTCCCAAATTTGTTAGCAATTTTACTGGTAGTCCACTGTATGAAGAATTCTTGGGTATAATATGTCACAGTTTATTTTTCTATCCTCACTTAAATAAATGAACTATTGTCCTGCACCCACTAGTTAAAAAAAAATAATAATAATTTAAAGTTATATCTGGTGTCTGAATAATTTTTGGCTTGACTGTATATATATATATATAGAGAGAGAGAGAGAGAGAGAGAGAGCATTAAGAAGGTTCAGGCATGCAAACAACAAAATCTCACCCTTTAGCTCTTTTAGTTCATTTCCAGGAGAGTTTCCATCTAATCCTGTTTTAACAATATTCACAGATGAATTAGACAATGAAACCTTATTAGACATGATAGTCACATTAAAACTAGTTTTTGTACAAAATCTGTCAGCTGTTAAATCTCATAGTCACTCAATTTGAACTCTTGTCAACAATGTTTGGCCACTGACATTAAGACATGTCAGGTTTAAGTGAGTGCAAATGAGATTTGAGGACTTCAGCTGATGGGATACTTTCAGTGAATAATGATCTACATCTAGGTCTGTTCCTCACACAAATCTATAATTTGACTTCTGAAAACTTGGATAAGTGTTACCCATGATTGCAACTGAATGAACAATTGAACAATGAACATAATACCCTTCTTATATTAAAAATATTACATTAAAAGACAACTACTCACCATGTGTCTGACTCTGAACTTCATCATCTTCAGCTCTGATTGCAATGCTCTTCCTGCCCTGTCTGTCTCTCAATATATTATCAGCACCAAACGCTTTACTTATGGCAGTCTCTTCAACAACAATGAACTGTTCCCTTTCACCTTCTCTGATCTCTGATCTCGGTGTCTCTTTTTGTGTGACATCAGCAACTACAAACAGAAAAAATACAAAGACAAAGCAGACATTACATCAAATGTGTTTGCATGTGAACATCAGAGTTTTGAAATTACTACACAAAAAATACTTTTATCTAACACACAAACTTCATAATGTCTCCGTTTGGGTTTGCTGCATCAAAAACAAAATGTATTTCGGGTGATGTGTGCTTTTGAATGAGATGTGTGCGACTTCCTGAAATGGATCAGGAATGGGATTTTCAGCAATTAATGGCTTAAAGTTTCACACAAAACTACTGTAAACTGTCAGAGAGGACTTAGAATGTAAAACAGTGTTGTTTGGATTACTCTGATACTGCTTTCTGCCATTTTTAGAATAGAGTATTGTTATATGTATTATACATTTCAGCATCTATCCAAATGCACAAGTAGTATATTTGTATTACATTTTATAACTACTTAAAACAATGAGACCAGGCCAACTGAAGCAGATAGAGATCAGACTTTATGGCGTAACTCAAAGGTTTGTCTATGTGAGACGACACTATCAATGACCCACACAGTTTTTCTTGCAGGTCTTTTTTTGCTGTTGTTTGCAGTCACACATGAAAGGGTCTGGAGAAATGTAATACATTACGTAAAGAAAAGTATACATTTTCTTTAAAATCAGAATAAAAGTCTCAACTTTATCTAAAATGCAGTGAAGTAAAAGTCAACCATATTTATACTACAAATGCACAAAAACTGTACTGTACAGTAATGAAGCATTTGTACCATATTTCTACAAACTTATGGGTTTTAACAAAGCATTGATCCCCTTTTTCATTAAACATTTCTTGTTGCACAACAAAAAACATTTCACACGTCCTGTACCAGTTTCTTGTTGAGATGTCTCCGTTTCATCTGTCAAGGCTGCACAAAGAAACAGAAATTAGATTTTAAGTGAGTGATCAGATGAACATGTCAAAAACACTGAGAATATACTTTGTAATTATTCATGTGCTTCTAATAATCACTTCATCCTCAACATCACTTTTTAAAACCCTCATCCGTCCCTCCCGAACCTGTAACAAAAGTGTCCCTTGAGGGTCAAAATTACCCGAAGGCCAAAAATGACACTTTTTTATTTATTTATTTTTTTGGTCCAGAAAGCTTATATTGATCCATATATACACTGAACACAATTATAAACTCAACAACAAAATCTGTGTTAGTGAGCACTTCTCCTTTGCCGAGATAATCCATTCACCTCACAGGTGTGGCATATCAAGATGCTGATTAGACAGCATGATTATTGCACAGGTGTGCCTTAGGCTGGCCACAATAAAAGGCCACTCTAAAATGTGCAGTTTTATCACACAGCACAATGCCACAGATGTCACAAGTTTTGAGGGAGCGTGCAATTGGCATGCCGACTGCAGGAATGTCCACCAGAGCTGTTACCCGTGAATTGAATGTTAATTTTATATATATATATATTCAAATTTATATATATATATAAAAAAAAATTTTTTGGTGATTTTTATTTTATTCACCTTAAATTCTGGATATTTTTATGAAAATTAGCATATCTGTGTACATTTTTTCACCAAAAAAACAAAAACAAAGAAAGACACAATTTCTGCATTTTATGGTTACAGCCACTAGAGGGGCCTACAGAATCCTATGGAGATTCTTAAATGAGCCAAACAAGTGAAATCTTTAAAACTACACCAACTTGAGGCTTGATTAAGCTTTCAGATATATCTCAAGGCTTTCAGATATATATCAAAACATTTTTAAAAAACTATATTTTGTAAAAAAAAAAAAAATTGATACTGAATTTTAATCCAAACATATGCATATTTATACAGTTTCGTAAATATGTAGATACATTTAAATATATAATTATGATATAAACTCATTGGTCTCCACCCCATCACTCAAATTTAACTGTTAAGTAAAAAAAAAAAAACTAATAAAAGGCCAAAATGACAGTCATTTCCCAGCAGAAACATCATACATGTTATAATGTGTTTCTATGGGAGTGTGTGTACCATATGTGTGTTTGTGTGTGTGTGTTTGTGTGTGCCTGTGTGTATGGGTATGTGGGTTTTTCCTGCATCGGGGACATTCTGCAGTCTCAGCCCTTCGTTTGGGTATGCATCTTTTCTGGATTGTGTCAGATTTTGTATAGGGAAAAAAAAATCTAATAAATAAAAAAATGCTGTTTTTTTTTCCGGACATTCCATTCATTCCTATGGCCGGATCAAAATGACCTGCGAGGGACACTTTTACTTTTTTTTTAATCACACCCACATAAAATCCTTGAATTGATTAAAAAAAAAATGTGTGTGTGTTCCATGCTCATGTGTGATAAAAAAAAAAAAAGTTTTATCGTAAATTCCATGCTTTTCCAGTGGCATGTCAAAATGACCAGCGAGGGACACATTTGTTACATTTTTTATAACATCCATTCAAACTGCTCGAATTCACTTGAATTTAGTGTATTCCTGGTTCAAGTGTGACCTTTAAAACTACACCAACTTGAGGCTTGATTAAGCTTTCAGATATATCTCAAGGCTTTCAGATATATATCAAAACATTTTTAAAAAACTATATTTTGTAAAAAAAAAAAAAATTGATACTGAATTTTAATCCAAACATATGCATATTTATACAGTTTCGTAAATATGTAGATACATTTAAATATATAATTATGATATAAACTCATTGGTCTCCACCCCATCACTCAAATTTAACTGTTAAGTAAAAAAAAAAAAACTAATAAAAGGCCAAAATGACAGTCATTTCCCAGCAGAAACATCATACATGTTATAATGTGTTTCTATGGGAGTGTGTGTACCATATGTGTGTTTGTGTGTGTGTGTTTGTGTGTGCCTGTGTGTATGGGTATGTGGGTTTTTCCTGCATCGGGGACATTCTGCAGTCTCAGCCCTTCGTTTGGGTATGCATCTTTTCTGGATTGTGTCAGATTTTGTATAGGGAAAAAAAAATCTAATAAATAAAAAAATGCTGTTTTTTTTTCCGGACATTCCATTCATTCCTATGGCCGGATCAAAATGACCTGCGAGGGACACTTTTACTTTTTTTTTAATCACACCCACATAAAATCCTTGAATTGATTAAAAAAAAAATGTGTGTGTGTTCCATGCTCATGTGTGATAAAAAAAAAAAAAGTTTTATCGTAAATTCCATGCTTTTCCAGTGGCATGTCAAAATGACCAGCGAGGGACACATTTGTTACATTTTTTATAACATCCATTCAAACTGCTCGAATTCACTTGAATTTAGTGTATTCCTGGTTCAAGTGTGACAAAAGTCACAAAGTCTCATACCATAACGATCAACGCTCGATTTTTAAAAAATCGTTAAAAATTAGTTTCGGGTCAAAATGACCCGAGGGACGGTTGAGGGTTTTAATTAATGATCTATAATAATTACTGCAATATTGTTTGTGAACACTACTTAAATCCATCACTAACATAAAATGTCAATAAAACAATACTTTTCACAACAATTTATTTATTTATTTTTAACACCTGCGATATTTATATATTAAACTCTACTGTCGCATAATAAAGCTAATTTTTCTTTTGTATCAACTGTAATACTTACTCATTTGCTTAACTTGTTCAGAAAACTTGACTTCATGCCACAGCAGCACATAGAAACAGAAATGAGGAGATTATAGGTGAGTTTCTTGGAAATTCAGCATTTTAAACAAAGAGATTCAGTCATGAGTATATGAATGGCATTCAGCTTAACAAAACAATTACACTTAATCACTGCACTAAATCAAACACAAGCAGAACTTGTGGTGAAAATATTGAATATAAAAAAATAATCATTTTACATTTAAACTCTTAAAGCTAATTTTCTCTTGCTGCATCAGTTTTAATACTTACACAGTTGTTCTGGGATATTCTGTTCATCTGTAGCAGCACATAGAAACCGAGAAACAAGGAGATTATGAGTGAATGAACAGATGAACATGACAGTAACACTGACACAATGAGTTATCAAATACAGCTTTCTGTTTTATATGAGTTCTGTGAGCTTCAATAACAGAAGAACAACCCATGATGCTTGACCCCAAATAACACAAACAGACATAATCAAACACAGATCTAAATTAAGTGGTTGTAAATTCAGCATTTTAGCAAACAGGAACAATTAATACAGTATTATATCACATGTTGTACGATGAGTATATTAATGTCATGCAGCTCAATACTGGATAATCACACTTAAATCAAACACAAGTAGAACTTGTGGTGAAAATTATAAATATTAACTATGAAAAATCATATTACACATTAAAATGGCACAATAAAGCTCACTTTTCTCTCATATCAGCTGTAATACTTACACAGTTGCTTTAGTCGTTCAGTGAGCTTCGCTTCATGGCACAGCAGCGCATAGAAACAGAAATGAAACAGATTATAAGTGAATGAACAGATGAACATGACAGAAACACTGAGAAAATACTGTGATTATTTATGAGCTTCTAACAATCACTTCATCGTCTGCATGACTTTATATTAATGATCAGTAACAATTACAGTAATGTTGTGTTGTGTGTGAAAGCATCATTAATGTGAATAAACAACACTTTCCACTGCATTTATTGCTCAATGTTAATTTGTTTTAAAATTAGTTCAGTGATAAAGACTAATTACTGACTATGGAAAATCGTTATACATTTAAACTCTAGCACAATAAAACTACTTTCTCTCTTGATGTATCGTCTGTGAAACTTACGTAATGCTTTTTTATAGTCCTCCGCTTCATGTCACAGCAGCACATAGAAAGAGTAATGAGGAGATTTTAAATAAGTGATCAGATGCAAACAGTAACAATTCTAGTAATATTGTATTTGTGAACATTAGTTAAAATTATCCTTAATGGGAATTAAAAACATTTTCATAGCCTTTATTTGTCAATGCAAATGAATATTATTTTTAGTTCAGTGTCGTGACACTGAATGACACACAATGTCACAAACAAATACAGCTGTGATTCACACAGACCAGATAAAACTCAAGATAACAGAGCAAAAAACAGCAGGATTATGATTTTATGCCAACTGCTGCTAAATTTGAAGTTCTGTGAGCTTCAATAGCAGAAGAACAATCCAACATGAACAAACACTACAGATGATTGAAGCTCGACCCCTAATAACAAACAGACATAATCAAAGTGGGAAAAAAAAAGTGACGTGACATGTGGCCAAGTATGGTGACCCATACCTGGAATTAGTGCTCTGCATTTAACCCATCCAAAGTGCACACACACAGCAGTGAACACACACACCGTGAACACACACCCGGAGCAGTGGGCAGCCATTTATGCTGCGGCGCCCGGGGAGCAGTTGGGGGTTCGGTGCCTTGCTCAAGGGCACCTCAGTCGTGATATTGAAGGTGGGAGAGAGCGCTGTACATTCACTCCCCCCACCTACAGTCCCTGCCGGTACGAGACTCGAACCCACAACTTTTGGGTTACGAGTCCGACTCTCTAACCATTAGGCCATAACCATTCAACCATTAGCAATCATGATTGAATCACAATTAATATAATGTTATTTATTACATGTTGTATGTGATTCAGTCATGATGAGTATATTAATGTCATACAGTTCAATACTGGACGATCACATTTAAGTCTCAAGTCTCATTGTATCAGCTGTAATACTTACACATTTGATTTAGTTTTTCAGAGAGCTCCTCTTCATGTCACAGCAGCACATAGAAACAGAGAAATGAAGAGATTATAAGTGAATGAACAGATGAACATGACGGAAACTCTGAGAAGGTACTGTGTGATTCTTCATGTGCTTCTAATAATCACTTCATCATCTGCACAACTTTTTATCTATGATCTGTAACAATTACAGTAATGTTGTATGTGATTATGTGATTCAGTCATCAGTATATTAATGTCATGCAGCTCAGTACTTCAGTAATAATCACACTAAATCAAAGAAAAGCAGAATTTCTGATGAAAATATAAATATTGACTATGAAAAATCTTATTATACACAAGATATACTCTGGCACAGTAAAGCTATTTTTGTTACTTTCACTGTATCAGCTCAGCTGTAATACTTACTTCTGTCATTTTCACTCATATCCGCTTCATCTGTAGCAGCACATAGAAACAGAGAAATGAGGAGATTATAAATGAATGATCAAATGTACATGACAGAAACACTGAGGTGATACTCTATGATTCTTCATGTGCTTTTTAATAATCATTTTTTCATCTGCATGACTTTTTATTAATTATACATAATTACAATAATACTGTGTGTGAAGACTAGTAAATTCATCACTAACATGAATTATCAATAAACAATACTTTTCACAGCAATTAATTTATATATTTTTTTAACATGAGTTCAGGTTTGTCTCACATTTGTGACGTTTTTATATTAAACTACTGTTGAAGCTATTTTTTTTCCAATTAACCTATTTTTTTCTATTTGTATCAGCTGTAATACTTACTCGTTTTCTTTAGTTTTTCAGAGATCTTGGCTTCATGTCACAGCAGCACATGGAAGTGAATGAACAGAAAATGTCAGAAACACTGAGAAGATATTGTGTGATTCTTCGTGTCCTTTTAATAATCACTTTATATTAATGACAATTACAAGAATATTGACAATTTTTTTAAGGAATATTGCAGTGTCTATTATCAGCGATTTATCTTATCTCATATATGTTTATCCTATCTCTTTATTTCAGAAGGCAAAGGGTCATGACATGGATTTTCCCATCTTTGCAAAATTATCCGTTTTTAATGGTTGGGTCCTTTAAGGCTTGTCAGTAAACGCCCACTCTTATGACTAATGTCATTGCATAGGAAACAGTTTTGACAACAGTATCCATATAAAACCATAATTTACAGACAAAGCATTATGAAATCATTTACTTAGAGTTTGTAATGCAGCTGCTGTCAGATACAATACAGCTGACAGCTTCAGCTTTCAACAAAAGTTGAGAACTCTCCATTACGCTGCCTCATTTACAAAACAATCTGCAGTCAAATGCTCAGAACAAACATATAATCCTCCGATGTGATCTGTTACGCTATTAAAAATAAACTAAATAAACTTTTTTTTTCTTAAATCTATGCCAAACTACTGTTCAAAATACCTGAGGAAAGTGTAATGCACTAAACACACAGACAGGTTAAAAATGGTTTTCATAGAACATTTTTGAACTATTCTTTCACAATAAAATTCTCTTGCTGCATCAGTTTCAATACTTACCCAGTTCTTTATCACTGGTCTTGGCTTCATGTCACATAGAAACAGAAATGAGGAGATTGTAAGCGAATGATCCGATGAACATGTCAGAAATCACTGAGTTGTTGACTCGAGAACAAATGCAACTGGTTCAGAATCATTTAATGCATAAGTGCAAATTTACATTTCATCCTCATCTCATCCTCAGCAGGCCCCCTTTGGTTGAAATTAGCTGCGTTTCCACTGTTGGGCCAAAAGCGGGCATGCTAGTGCGTGCCAGGGCCAGTCGCGTTTCCACTGTCACTTCCGGGGCTTCATCGTGCCTCATCGGGGCTTCCTCGGGGCCAGTGGCCAGGGATTTTTCGGCCCACTGAATACCTTGGGCCAAAGCAGTCCAAGTGGGGCTAGAGGTGTGGTCATGAACAAAGGTGCAGTTTATCCGAGTTAGAGACAGTTGGCACCACTGCTCATTTCCCATGTTTTCCCAAGCTATCAACTTGCATCAACAATTAAGGCATTTAAAACCATTTTAATGGTAAAACTCACTTTTAGACACCAGCGAGTGTCTGAATTAACTTACGATTGCGACCCGATGGGAATTCTAATCACCTTATGAGGCAGCAATGTATTATACGATATTGGCAGCATATGCTAACAATCGCTTTAATAAAAACACGTTATGCTTATGAAAATACCAGCTTGAAGAACTTAGACAAATCATATATGATTATAATCGTGTATTTTGTTTCATATTTGTTCTCTCTTCTCCATGTGTCTTTGTTTAGACTTCTGCATCCACATATGTCATAAATTTTATATACTCAGTGTAAATCATAACTCCGGTTTTCGGTCTGTGAGCTGCCTCTGTTGCTTTGGCTGAAAGGATAACAGTAGAGTGAGATGGGAGACAGCGCTTAAACCTCCTCAGATTACATACATCGTGGAAAATTAAGATACATTCTCATTCTTTCTAAAGAAATTTGACGGAAACATACAAGGGTTTATCAGTATTTTTCTGTTGTGCTATATGTGCACGCATTTGGACTTAAAAGCCCTAATGGAGTTGTTTTGTGCATTCCTGTCATCACATTTAAACGGAACATCTGCAGCTGAACAAGTATGTGTGTTCTCTTTTTATGTGAAACAATGATAACTATCATTTTGATTTAGCATGCTGACACAAAATAATAAATTACTATTTTTATCGTAAATCATTGGTATATAAAATAGCGATGATGAAGTCTTAAGTCTATATAAGGGCCAAACATAAATTTCTAGTTCGTTTTACGATATAGTTTTTATTAATTTTCCCTTTGCTGGTGAAGTGCTGGGGTTGTGAGACATTTGCTTCAGAGAGACGTGTTAAGGGTGGGTTTTACAGTAGGAAACAGGACAGCGGAAATGCGGCTTGATTTTGGGCTCGCAGCTTGAGGTGCGAGGCCATTGGCCCCGCCCGGCTCGTTGTTAGCCCTGGCACACACTGGCCCGACAGTGGAAAAGTGGCTATTGTGTTCCTGGAATTTCCAATTCCATTGGTGCTCGGCCATTTTGGTCGCCTATGGTTCAGTGTGATTTGCAAACTGATCTACCAGGTTAATTGAAAAGAATCAGCTCATTTGTGAATCGGGCTATTGCGTCTCAAAGCGGGTGATGATTTCTAAAATAAAAATACTCTGATAAAGAACAGATACTTGAAAATGTACTTAAGCACAGTAACGAAATAAAAGCCTGTCATATATCTACTACTGGTTGTATGTCAGTATCTACCACTTGTATGTGATTCAGCCATCAGTTTATTAATGACATGCAGTTCTATACTGGACAATTACACACGTCATTAATTATTGTGCTAAATCACAGACAAGCAGAAACAAATCCCAACTATGAACAAAAAAAATCATATTAAGCATTTAAACTCTGCTGTATACAATAAAGCTCAATTTTCCTCCTGCTGCATCAGCTTTAATACTTACTCATTTGCTCTAGTTGTTTAGAGAGCTTTGCTTCATGTCACAGCAGCACATAGAAACAGAAATGAGGAGATTATAGAGGAGTTTCTTGTAAATTCAGCATTTTAAACAAAGAGATTCAGTCATGAGTATATGAATGTCATTCAGCTTATACTGCTGAACAATCACAAACTTAATCACTGCACTAAATCAAACAAAAGCAGAGCATGTCGTGAAAATGATAAAAAACTGACTATAAAAATTATATTGCACGTTTAAAATCTACTGTAGCACAGTAAAGCTCACTTCCCTTTCAAGGGAACTTTGAACTGCGTCCTGTCGCTATGGGGAACGCCTCGTCGTGACCCGTGTCTGAAGCATACATTGAAAAAACACCAACACGTTGGCCGGCGACAGCCCATGACGTCACTACCGGTGCGACTATAGTATAAATAGGCGCCAGGAGAACATGTCATTCTCTTCTTCGTCTTCATTGACTGTTTTGTTTGAAGCGTGCATTTCTGTGGTAAGAGCGATCTCTTTTCATTATGGCGAGCACTAGCAGAGCGTTTAGAGGGTGTGTGCATTAATTTCCCTATAACCACCAGCACTCCACCTGACCGAGTTTAGGTGGGAATTGTCCTGCATTACAGTCTCCTATGCTGGACCTATGTTGTTTTTGTTTGGTTCTATGACTTCATAGCAACCACCTTACTGATGGTCCGGACTAGAGGCTTCTC